GCAGCGGATGCAGTGGTCGCCGTTGGCTCCCGTCTACAACAGAAGTACAGCAGAAGTCTCCTTAATGTTAAGGTGGAGATTATCACTCCTGGGATCTTTGGAAAGTTTTCCAATGAATCAAAGTTGGCTGTAGACAGATCAGTAGTAAAGCATTTTAACGTGTCTATGTTCGGCCGAGCTACCTTTGAGGATCTCTCCCTGAAAGGATACGATATTGTCGCAAATGCCATAGGTCCTCTTGGTAAGAACTTTGAGCTGACATTTGTTGGCTCATCTCCAGGTGAATACCGAAAAGTTGAGCAGTGGTTTCTTGACAACACTGGAATCAGCCGCAACCAACTAACCATCCGTGGATATTGCAGTGATACAGAGGAACTTAAGATGATGTTCTATCAGTCAGACTTGGTTGCTCTACCTTCTCGTACCGAAGGCTTTGGGCTTGTCGCGCTCGAAGCCATTTCTGCTGGTATTCCTATACTTGTTTCTGGTGAATCTGGCATAGCTGAGGCTCTGAGAGAAGTTGAAGGTGGGAACGCTGTTATTGTTGAATTAGATGAAGATGCAGATGAATGGGCACGAAGGATTAGTGAGATGGCTGAAGAAAGTTCAGAAGAAAGAGAAGCTAAAGCTAGACGGCTCAGAGAGAACTACAGAAAGGTGTACTCTTGGAGAGCAGAATGTGAGAGGTTCAAAGGAACGATTGAGAAAGTGGTGAAAAGTGCAAACGGTAGGTTCAGTTCTTTTATTTTTGCTTACAGTTTGGATGTGATATTGCTCTAATATCCTGAGTGGATCGAAATGTAAAAAAGAATATTGGAAAGACTGAACATTGTTTATGTAAATAGCGCAATTGACCATATGTAAATGGAATTTGCACACTACAAATATTAAACTATTATTATTATTATTATTATTATTATTATTCTCTAGGTATTTTAGTAAATGTTGTGTTATGAATCAACCAGCAATTACAGCATCACTTTTGTTTACAACCCTTTTTTCCCACTTTCTTCTATCCTCCTTTATATGACAATATTTGCATGTCATGTTGACAACACTTACTGTGATTTATCTATCACTGCAATCTAACAATTTATTGAGACTTAAAACGTAAGTTAGACATTAGGCTAATACTTAAGGTCAGTGCAGTGGTTTCACCACAGTAATGTGGGAAAGCCAAAGAGAGATTTTGCAGGAGCATTGGAATGTTTGTTTGCTTAGCTTTTCATGCTACTTTGCCTGCTTTGTTTCCTTTAGTTTCTTACCTTCCCTCCCACTTATGGGTTAATGTTGATTGTTGTGACTGATGTTGTGATGGACTGAGGCTAGGTTGCCATGGTTACTTTTTGGCTTTTGAGGAAGCCAGAGGAAGCCAGAGGAAGCCAGAGGAAGCCTTTCTTCTACAGCACCCAGCATCCAATTATGATGATGTGGTGTTATAAGAAATTAAAACATTAGGATGTTTGAAGAGAG